TACAGGTGAAACTCGAATAATTAGAATATCGTGCAAAAGTAATGGCAGTAAGTGCTGCAAAAGGGGCCCAAACCAAGTACTGAGTACATATGCATGCTTGTACTTCTCAGAGGTCCGATATTGTTCTATGTACAATCCTTGTTTTATTGATTGCATGTAATAATCTACTTTTTTGAGGTTGTGGATTTGGTGTTCTTGGGGTTTTCATGAGCTGTAAGCCATAATCATCACAATGATGACAAATCACGGCTTGAACTATCTTGCTTTGCATGTAATGAGTCTCTCTCATATATTAGTTTCACCTTTTAAGTTGCATTAGTGAAATAAATGAACTTTGCACGATATTCTAATTATTCGAGTTTCACCTGTAGATATATATATACAGCCGAATATTATAGAGACATTTATTCCAAGCTGCATGCAGCTGTTTCAGGCTCGCACTGTACTGTAGCTCTGCCATCATTTAAGCTCATGCTCCCAGCTGATTGGAGAGTTCTAGGTCTAGCAGGGGCCATGTCGGACCTCTACAGAGAGGCCACTGCTTCCAGAGAAGGGCCCTTCTCTGCAGGATGCTGGCAGGGGACGGGCTTTTCTACTCAGGCTTCTGAAGAAAATGAACTGTAAGACTTTATACAGCTTTTGTAACAATTTTTCTCCCCACCAGGAGGAGGCGGGACTACCTGAAACTGGATATAGCCCAGCTGCTGTCCAATGAGGGAATTGACTCAAATCTGCTAATGCCCCATAACACAGACCCCGCCCACCTACCCGGCTCAGGGCAGAACTCGGGACAGCTTCTTCCAACTTACTTACCATTGGAGGTAACAGTTATCAGAGCTTTCAGAGAATCTAAGTGTCTTATTGTAGTGGCACAGCAGCATCTTAGGAAGCAGCATGCGTTAGGAGGACCTCCCCCCATCCCTGTGCTTAGTTCTTTGGTGTCTACACACCTGCTGTACCCATTATGAGGGGCTCCCACCATCCCTATGCTGAGTTCCCGGGTCTGTACCCCCGCTGTGCCCATTATGAGGGGCTCCCACTATCCCTGTGCTGAGTTCCCGGGTCTGTACACCCGCTGTGCCCATTATGAGGAGTTCCCACCATCCCTGAGCTGAGTTCCCGGGTCTGTACACCCGCTGTGCCCATTATGAGGAGCTCCCACCATCCCTGTGCTGAGTTCCCGGGTCTGTACACCCGCTGTGCCCATTATGAGGGGCTCCCCCCATCCCTGTGCTGAATCCCCGGGTCTGTACACCCACTGTGCCCATTATGAGGGGCCCCCACCATCCCTGTGCTGAGTTCCCGGGTCTGTGACTTGAGTGAAGGGTTGAGCAGGAACACACAAAGAATGATGGGGAAGCTCAAAACTCAAGGTGGACTCAAGGAGCAGAGTCTGGAGTTAGGGGAGAGAGATCTCACTGTTGGAGACATGAAAGACTTGAGGGCAGGGCCGGATTTACTCTCTCTGCTGCCCAAGGCCAGGTTCCTCAATGCGCCCCTCTACCTGCCAATCCCCCCACCCCCC